TTTATCATAGGATTGATCGTGATAACCTACTACACAAGTGAATCGTGATAATAAATTGTTTATTTGTTAATCGTTAATTTCTCTTAGGAAAGGCTTTTGAGATAATTAAGTTTATTAGTTTTGTTAGCTTGGTTTGAGACGATTCCAGGTCTAACAACGGGTATTTCTACAATAACATGGATTAGATTTGCTTGCGGTGTGATATAGTAGTATCCAATTACTTGTGTTTCATCCATTAAAGTTAAATTGTTGTTATTTTCGAGCGTAATTTTTTGTAGCTCCTCGAAGTTTTCGCCAGGTATAGGGTTTTTAAGTTTCCATAGGTTGATTTTATAAGCATCGATTGTTGCAAAGTCATTCGAATTTGCATTTTTGATGAACTCCTTGAGATCGGAAACATTATTATTCTTTCCAATAATAATTTGAAAGGTTTTCCCATTTCTCGAACAAAGCAATAAAGTGAGATAGGTATTCCAGAAATGACAACTGTGGACATATTGTATGTTTATGGATTCTGTTGGTTTTGAAAATTATTGTGAGTGAAATTTTTTTTTTTTATTTTTTTTTTTTTTTTACGTTTATATAGTCAAAAAAAAGTTTATTTTTTGGATTTAAACTATTTCGAGGGAATAATATGTCGTCAGTCATGTGTTGATCAACAATTAACGCATGTAAAAAAAGTAAAAAGCATAAAAACGTCACCATTATATGAACAAGACAAGAAAGTTAGCAAAAAAGTTCGTCTAGAAGCTACTTAAAATTTTTCCTCCCTTGTTATAAATATATAATTCAATTTATCTTTAAACATTGTGGTTCTATCCTACGATCTTACAAGAAAATCAATCTCATTCACTAACAAGAGATAAAGGAAATTTTATATAAACTTATTTTCGTGAAAAAAAATTATAACACGTTAAAGAAAATAGTTGGAGAAGAAATAGAATGTTATCGGTGCCCTTGCTCACGAATACAAGATTTTTGAAAATTCAAGTGCATGTGGCACAAGAGTTGTTAAGGAAATGAAAATTTATTGGAAATTGATATATGATGAGAGTTTCATGTTGGAATTTACTAGTTAGATACACACAGGTTTACCTTATTACCTCACCATTTGGTAAAACATTCTTATTCCCTATATTATACTTTGCCAAAAAATGATGGTACAATCGAAAAGAACGAAAATACGTTTTCAAGTTTATGTGAATGAAAGTGAAGGTACTTCTTAGGTAGGTTGAATAATTTTTTCAAAACGGTCGAATTCTTTATAGGTTACTTTCATATTTTCCTACAATAATTATTATTTAACGAAATGAAATCGTTAAACAACAGCATAAAGAATACATTAAATTTCGTCGCGAGAAAATTAGAAATGAAGAATGGAAAATGTTCTAGTGGATTTACTGACAACATATCTTTTTTTCTTTTGTAGTAATAATCAAGATGAAGTCTTTGTTGATGGGTTGAGACGATGACACTAAATATAAGCATTTTTAAATAAAGGTACATATATTCATAAAAGTATCCTATGTGAAAACACGACTATTTGATGATATCGACGTGATTCGAATACGCGAGGTCTTAATTAAAGAAACGTCTAGGTTGTCAATATAAATTGCTATTAAACTGGGATAGTTGTATATTATTAGATATTATGTTATTCATAAATAAAAATGACAATTCTTATAATAAAGTATTTGTGTAACAGGTGAAAATTTATTACTGTTGTGGAATTTTATAATAAATTTACGTTTCGTTCTACATTTGAACTTAAAAAGCAGCGGATTCTACGATGATATATGATCATCAACAGCAATTCCCTATTCATTGGAGACCGAATAATTTTGATGAATCTTTCTGAATATAATGACACATTCACATCCATTAACTTCATGATTTGAAGTACTTCACAATGAAAAAGCAAATAAAAATAATAAGAAGGCTATTTGTTTATCTTATATTAGATATATTGGATAAGATTCCTTATTAAAAGATAAAAGTAATAAATTTACAACGTTATTGCTATTAACATCTTCAAACTTGTCAAAATTTTTTGACTGAACATGAACTTAACGAAGTTAATAGAATTTTAGCATTATCAAAATTTCATATTACAATAACAACTACGAAACGGCAATTTATTGGTAATTTTAAATTAATTTTATTAAATTTAAATATAATATTTATGTTTTAATTAGAAATTGATGATCCCGAAATTCTAAATGAAAAATCTGTTTCGCGAACTAAAAAATTAACTCAAATTAAACAATATATTGGAAGTAGAAGGTTTGTTTGTTTCTAATTTAGATATTTCATTTTAAAGTATAGTATGATATATATGATATATAATTTTTTTTTTGATAAAATTTGAAATAATAAAATAATAATATGTTTTATTTTTTTTTTTATTAATTGTATATTAATAAATATAAGTAAACTCAATGGACAACAATGGACACTTTTATCATATATCCATTACTTGATCAATAGACAATGGACAACATTTTTTGTCCATTGTCCATTGTCCAGTGATGACAAAAACTGGTTCCAACTACCTCTGTGAATTCTTTTTTTCCGACTTGAAATAAATTTCAGTTGGAGAGTTTCCCCATTTCAATATTACTTCAACTTGAAATTGGTGATGTAAACATCTCTGTCAGCCAATCCACCCATACAAAATCTTAGCTTTTTATTAAATATATTCTAAATCAATAAAAAAAATTGAAAATTACAAAAGGATAAATGATTTTATTTTCATTTTTTTTAATTATAATCAAAATAAAAACTTATCATGATTTTTCAAAGACAATTCAGTGAAAGATACGAAAGGTTGTCTAAAGAGAAAGTAAAATTTTCATTAAAACTTTTATAAAATAAAAAAACTTACCACTTCATCTTTGATAATAATAAAGGAATACTAAAATCAACCATTTTATGAAATCCGAAATAAATTTGGTTCGTTCTGGAAATAATATCGTATACTAAATTAAATAATGAAATTATATGTATATATGGTTTTATTTATGTTCGTAAACGTTATTTTAATAGCAAACATCCCATATAATTTTTGAGAGGCTTTTTAAAGAATTGATTTATTTTAAATATATGACAAAATCTCATATATTTTACGGTCTTTTAAATTTTTCAAGTTCATTATTCATGCGCTTGAGATTACCTTTAATTATTAAGAATATTCAATCTTCACCAGAGAGATTCAATTAAAACTAGCCATGTTTGTTGGATTATCTATCCTTAGAGTATCAGATCAAGAAAAAGTTTTTAGAAAGAAAATTTAATTATTTGCTCAGGATATTTTCTTTTAAATAAAAGAAATTTTCTACTAACATAAAATTACTATACTTTGGTTTTAATAAAGTGCATAGATTTAGGGTTGGTTATAGATTGATCGTGAAATCCTTCTCGGTTTCATAAGAAACCAATATACGAATGGCACAGTAACTGCGAAGAAAAGCTAAAATTACTTTAATTTTATCATAAACAGTTATTAGATTATTTTATTTCTATTCAGTTATAATAAAGCTACAATTAGAATTTTCGTAAATAATTCAAAAGTTCAATCTGGTTGCAAATGTGTGGCTGACAAGTCTCGAGAAAATCTTTCAATTTCCAAATTTATCGTGTAACCATCTAGGATAACCAACTACATTATTAATAAAATTATTTTATATCCCCTTAAAAATGAACATTAGTTAAGGTCGTTTCGGTTAAATTCCAAGTTAACATCGGTCATAGTTCTCGAGGTTATTTTTTTTTGTTTAATAATAAATCATCAATGCATATCAAAATTAGAGATGTATTATCATCCGTGTAATAAATTTTCGAACGTTTTGTTTGGGTCCAATGTAAAAGCAATTGCGCTATAATCACTAATTTGAATGACTTTGGAAATTACTATTTTACATTAGTAAGACACCTATATAGAAATCCTGTTAAAATTATTTGATTTTTATAGTTTGATATAGGTATTTAACTTGTTTACTTTATAGCAACAACAAAATGTATGAATCAAAGTTTCTAAATTAATGAACATTATCTAGGGTTTAAGAGATAGAAAATCTAATCACTTATCTATAATAAGTAACCCATCAAAAAAAATATGTCATAAATATTTTATAATTAATTTGTAAAAAGCGAACTTGATATTCGCTAAGTATGGGACCGGACCTAGGGACCCGTCCTAAATCCTAAAATTCTAAATTTTAGAAATTCTGGGATTCCAAGAGGGTTTATTATTTATTTTCATTAAGCAGCTCATTAATCATTATAATAGACAAGTTTAATCATTGTAATATTCTTGGGACGCTTAACATCCCTATTATTATCCCGAAAGAATTTTCGTGGTGCAGCTAATTTTTTTGATCAATTATAAATTTCGAAAAATAAGTATTTGAAAAGTTCACGTATTTATTTATAAGAACCTTTTTTTTTAGAATTATAGGTTTAAATTAAATTATGGAATTAAAAAGCAAAGAGAATTTTCAAAAAAATCTTTATTAAAAATAAATCGTAAGTTTATTTTTTTTAATTAAATTTCATGTGTTCACCTCAGGATGGATTAAAACTGCAGATAATTAAGATAATTTGTAGACTCAAGACACCATTCGTCTTTTCAGATTTAAAAATGTTGATAACAAGTTTTTAAATCATCAACACTGATTATTTGAAATTATTAAATAATTTGGACTCAATAAATTTCTTCTGCTTACATTGCAAAATTGTTTATAAATACATAAACGAAAGAATTAAATACAAACATTACAAAAAAAAGATATTACGGAGCTTTTTATTGTTAGTTACACGAAAAGCAAAATTCTAATGTGTTTTCAACCATCAAACACCAAAATCGAGTAGCGATTTAGAAAATTTAGAATTAAAATAAACAAAATTTTAGCGTGAACCAAATTAAATTTCAATTTTAACCTTTAAAACTTTTTTCTCTAAAATCAAAGTTACCAGGTAAATTGGATCAGCTAACGAAGAATTCTCAACTCCGTTGCAACCTGACGGTAACCGTAGATAGTTTTTCAAATGATATTACAGTATACGTCAAATATCCTGGCTCTCTGTAAAGAGATTTCGGTTATTGATATATTGATATATGATGAATTATCAAAGCACAAAAATAAATGTACAGTATCTAAAAGATTTTACTTGCGGAATTTCTAAATTTACAAAAAGTAATAGGAAATTATTACTTTAAGGAAAGGATTAATGGTGAGGACAGAGTTCATGCATAGGTAGTTTAGATTCATCGGATCGTAGAACGGAGGTAGAATGAAAAGATGGTCAAAACCCATCGAATAAAACCACTTTTCTTACCTTTGTATCGAAAAATCGCCTAAAAAAGAAAATAAGGAATTTTTCATTTTGTACCACCACCAGTGTGGCCTAAAGAGAAAGTTAATTTTTCTTTAAAAACTTTTTGATAATCAATACTGAATTTGAACCTCATATTATAAATTTGAAATAATATATGTATAATGATATAAGGTCTTATTTGCAAATAAGAAGACTTTATTTACCGCAAATTTTTTTTTTTTATTCAAAATTTCGTTAAAATATTGTTACTTATACTAGGTTTATAATGTTTGAATGCATGTGTAACTATGAAAACCTCACAAATATGAATGCGAAAACGCCAAATTATGAATTTTTACACATTGCGTAACCTGAGTGATTTATATAAAAGCTAAAGAAATACAAATATTGCTTCCTTTTGGTCTTTGGATTAGCATACTTGTTGAGTCAACCAAAAGTCGTTAATAATTTAACTTAACGACCTATAATTTTTTCAATGAAATTTAAATTAGCACTATCCCTAATCAGGAAGAAAAGTCGATCATTCCAAAATAAAATGGTTTTTTTTATTGTATACTGTATCATCTGCATGCAAATTACCAAATTGATAATCAAAACTTTATTATAGCTGGACTACAAAGACATTCCTTATCATGAATTTCAAGATTTTGATTTTTTTCCGCAATTAGTTCAGGAGAATTTGCTTCGGTTTATGCTGCATATCAGATAAGTACCCCAACAAAATTTGCAATTAAAATATTTGCCGAAGTTTCTATGAAAGAAGTTATTTTGAACGAGGTTTGAATTACTATAGTTTTTGTTAAAAAATATATATATTTGTTATGTCGATTAATTATAATATTTTTTAGATTCATTTAATGGAAATTATGAGAAGAAAAGTTGACTTTCATCCAAATATAATTAGATTTTATGGAATTACGAAATTTAGAAGTAAATAATTATCGTTAGTAATTTTATTCTAGTATATTTGATTACACATTTTTTTATTATTATTTAGATGAAATAAATTTTGCGCTTATTCTTGAATATGCGGATGGCGGAACATTAGGAGAATATTTAAGGAACAACGCTATATCTTTTAAATGGGAACGTCAATTAGAATTTGCCAACGACATCGCGAGTGCTATTTTATGGTTACATGACAATGGAATTATACATCGTAATCTTGTCAGTCAGTTCACTCTTCTTTTATATTTTATTTTATTTATTATTATTAATTTCATTTTCTATTTTTAGCATCCCAAAAACATTTTAATCCATCAACGTGCAATCAAATTATCAGGCTTTGGATGCTTGTGTTTTCAAGGATCAGATACTAAACCGGCACGTGGTGTAATACCATATATGGATCCTAAAATTTTAGAAGATTCCTTATATGACTTGAACAAAAAATCTGATATTTATAGCTTAGGAGTATTGTTCTGGGAATTGACAAGTCGTTCATCTCCTTTCAATTTTGAAACAACGGGTGATACTGCTATTCAGCTTGCAATTCTTAATGGTATAAGGGAAATTCCTATTTCAACCACAAATAGTGTGTTTGTTGAGCTTTATCAAAGTAAGAATCATTATTATTTTGCTATAGGTTTATTCTTTTTATTACAATTAATCTTGAATTTACTTATTTATATAGGATGTTGGGAGCATGAACCAGACGAGAGACCAGATATTGATCAAGTAATTTCGGAACTTAGCAGTATTGATCCTAAAATTCATTTTATCTCTAAAGTAAATGATAAAAATGAAATCAAGGATGATGTCGATTTTTCAAGTTGTGAGTGGAGAAGACCTTCTGATGAAAGTCCAAGTATTTGTCAAAATCGTAACGTGTGCATAATATGTGATATATGTCACGAAATGAGAAAATCTTCTGAAAAAAATTCACAGATTTGTCAGATTTGTTATAAATTATATAATTCAAGTGAAAATCAAGATATTGACGATTTTATTAAATATACACAAATAAATTGTAATCAAACTGTAAGAATGGAATTTGTTCCCTATTATCAATTTAAAGATGTAAAGTTTATCGCTGAGGGGGGATTTAGTAAAATTTATCAAGCTAATTGGATTGATGATGGTAAAATAAATATTTGACGAAAAAGTTCTTTTAAAGTTGCACTCAAAAATCTTAATAATTCTAAAAATATATCTTCCAAAGAATTAAATGAGGTATAATATTTTATTTAAATTTAGTAATAATATAATATATATATATTAACGTCAATAAATTTATTTTTATAGCTAAAAATATATTATATCCTTAATTTAAATTGCGGATTATATAGTTCTTTCCATATAAATGAGTATTATGGAATTACTCGTGATCCTATTACAGAAAATATAATGTTTATTATGAAACATTATGAATCTGGTGATTTGGGAAAATACATAATAAAAAATTTTTATAAGATTGATTGGATTAAAAAGTTAGAAATATTAGATAACATTATAGGAGGGCTTAATCATATTCACGATCAAAAATTTATCCATCGAGATTTACATAGTGGTAATATTCTTTATAGTAATCCCGCTAGCAACCATCCTGTGGTAATAAGTGATTTAGGAATAAGTAAGTCTGCAACAGAATCAACAGATAATGAAAATATTTATGGAATTATTCCTTATATTGCTCCTGAGATTTTTCTAGGACAAAAATATACTACAGCAACTGATATCTATAGTTTTGGTATGATTATGTGGGAGTTAATGACTGGCAGAAAACCTTTTTGGGACCAAGATCATGATACAGAACTTATTATTGGAATAATTGATGGTTTTCGTCCTCCAATTGTCACAAACGCACCAGAAGGATTTATTGAATTAACGCAAAAATGTTGGGATTCTGATCCAAATAAAAGACCTATAGCTTCCGATTTAAAAATTAAATTAAATGACATGAAAATTAATGAATATGAGAATATGACGGAATGTGAGGAAACTAATATGATTGGACCTATAACGACAAATAATCAAAAGGCAATTTATAAGAGTAGATATTTAAGTGAGATGATTAAATCTGCGATGTTGATAAGAAAATTAAGAAGTCAAACTATTAATTCAAAATTAGGTAACTACATATTACTATTAAATCGAACTATATTCTCTTTGATAATTATTAATCATAATATTTTAAAAAGATGAAGGTAATTTAGAAGATGATAATAAATGCATTAAAAGAAGCAAATTATTTGAAGATAAAAATAATGGTAATTATTTCATGTGTTTAAAATTAATTAAGATTAAATTATATCAACTAATTTTATTAATATAAATTATTAAGATTATGAATCAAAGGAAATGGAATTGGAAACTAATGAAGGTAGTAATCAACTATACTGTACATGTAATTTTTTAATTTAATTTATATACTAATGTTATTTATGTACGAATAGAATATATTACCAAGGCACTTGCATATGATATCTAGAATATTTTTCGATGAATTGCAATTAATGGATCTAGATACATAATAACTTTAAAAATTGTCATAGTCTTTTAAGTCATCACGAAATTTTTAGGTACAGGGGGTGAAATAAATATTGAATAATTTTTTCGCAAAGCTTTAATTAATAAATTTTCATATACAATTGATGTAACAAAGCTAATTATGGTATTTTACAATTCCTTACTAATCAAAAATGAATTTGTTTTTATTAAACCGTGATTGTTTTTTTTGCTTATTTTGATTTAAATTTTTAAATATTTTCGGAATTTTCGCAATTTTTCGCAAAAAATGGGTTATGCAAAAAAGATTATTTCAGAGCAAAGAAATACAATTTTTGCATGTAAAAAACTTTTATATTACGCAAAAAATACTGCAGAATTTGCTGAATGTTCTCAGCCAACAGTTTCCCAGGTTTTAAAAAATAATCAAACGATTGGAGATCGTCCCCAAATAATGACTACAAAAATGGAAAAAGTTGGCAAAAGCTGTTCTTAATAATAAAGATTCTAGGTGCCATAGATTAAAAGTAGTTTGTCAGCTTTTTCAAAACAAAATAAAGGTGAGAAAGTATCCAAGTGAACCATCAAAAAAGTATTAAGGATAGAAAGCATTTGATCATGCATGCCTCGTCACATCTAATATCCAGAGTTGGAAAAAATGGTTATTGAAAAATGGAAGTCAGTACTCAAAGAAATATATCGAAACCTTATTAATTCAATGCCTTCACTAATTTATGCAGTTATTTCTGCTAAAGAAGGTCATACTAAATATTAAATATATTAAACAAATTCATTATAACAAATAAATATAAATAAACTAAAAATAAAAAATTATTCAATATTTATTTCCCCTTTAGATCGGTCCGTATTTCCGCAGCGATCTACAAATTTTATGTAGATTTCGCATATTATTGGAAATTCTTGGAATTCATTTGCGAAAATATATGGATTTTGTTTGCGAAATATGTAGAAATCATTTACGAAATCATAAAAAAGAATTTTATTATATTAACTATATTGTATTGGAATATCTAATTTAAATTTTTATTATGTAACTAATGCTTTGCGTACAGTAATTTATTAATTTTAATAAAGAAGATAATTTACAAAATATGAATTTTCATGTCCAAAGTGTGGCACAATATGAACTAAATCTGCAATTGATTCTATCCGAACTATATCATACTCCTCAAGTAGTTTTATATATGGACAACCATATTTCATATACAAATCTTCTGACCTATGTTTAAATTCATACCAACAAAATTACTGCTAGGTCTGTTGTTGTAGAATCTTCATTTAAACAATAATAATATCTAGTGTAAAAGACAATAATTAATTTTATTTTTTTTTAATTACAATTCTTAAATTATTACAAACCTTTAGCAAAGCACAATCCATATATGTCGATCTTATCTAAACTCATTTTTATTACAACTTCAGAAAAACGAGGATGATTATAATGGTTTATTTTTGGCATGTATTTACCACCAATAGACCAAGTTACAGAATGAAATAATTGTATGTATGCACTTTCATAATTAACCTTCAGCCAAGAATTTACTTTTTTTGATAATTGATCTAATCCAAATAATATTAATTCATGCACCCCTGGTTGAATAAAACTTTTTTCTTTGCTTGTTTAGTATTATCTATAAAATTGATTTGCGAAAGTGTAGAGCGTCGATGTTGAGGCAACACTGATCAATTAATTTTATTGAACAATATTTACATTATAATTATTTAATTGCTTACTAATAATACATTTAAATTGTTTAATATGTGTGACGGTTGATTATAAAAAAAAAAAAAGAATATTCCTTTGATAAATTTATAAATTAATTACTTGATAACACTCCAACATATATTTGAATTCACATAACAAATATTGCGCTTATGAATTATCTGGACTCAAAAATTGAAATTAGATGAGGATGTTTAAATATATCATGTCGTTTAACCTTTACTTTAATGCTAACTTATCTAGATACAATAAATCCGGTTCAAACCTCTAGTTGACCGACCGTAGGATGATCCGTAGATTCGTCGGATTTGCTCACCTATGGTTTATCTCACCTCCTAAATGGCTAAGTTGTCAATCATGAAAATAGACCTTTCAGATATCGAGTTTCTTCTCACCCAACAGATTGTAAACTTCAAATCATGTGATTGTCCGAATTAAATTTTTTATTTTTGAAACATAATGCTCGTTCTTTTATTTTTTAGATTACCGTACTACTATACCGGACTTGAAAGAACCGAAAATCTCTCTCTTTTTGTCTTTTAGAAACATTTCAAAACGTTTCTTTATTTTTTACACCGAACTGGACAACCTTGGATCTTGGATTAGCTAATAGAGGAATTCGTCAGTTATTTTATATTTTATTTTATTTAATAAATTACTAAACTAACTACTTATCATTTATAGAACGGTCCAAAACCTTGAAATTTTGGAACCTTGGATTTGAAGTAAGTCCTAATGGAATGATTGTTAGTTTTTTTTTAATAAAAATAATAAAAATAATAACATTCTCCAACTTACCTTTGTAGAACGGGTCAGTATCTAAACCATTAGTTGGATCGGAGGTAAGCCTTAATGGAGAATTTTGTTAGTATATCTTTTTGTATATTAGTTAAAAAAATTTATAGACCTACCGAAACTTTTAATCCTTGGAATCTTAGATCGGCGAATCTTTTTTTTTTAAAAAAAAATAAAAACCTTACATTTACAAACTTACGATATATAGAAATATGGAACCTTGATGTCTTGAAGGCAAGTTCTGATGGAATATTTATTATTAATTTTATTTATTTATAATATTAAATTAACATTTACTAACTTACATTTGGATCCGTGATATAAATCTTTGAGATTAAAATGCTCCCGATGAGAACACTTTTGAAATTTTTTTTTTTTAAACATTTAACATAAATTTTCGTTAATTAAAAATTTTATAAACTTTTCCTTCTTTATATTAGGTTCCTATGGAAAACACAGTTCTGGGATTAGTCATGAGAGGTAGGGTAGAAAATTCATAACAGAAAAGATTAGATTGTAACTTTCATATATTTATGAACAAAGGGCAATTTTTTCTGTTACACAACTTATGTCGTAGTTGATTTAGGGCAATAGTGTAATTCACGACCATCATCTTTATTTACATTTCCTTAAGAGTTCGTTTAATCAATAGAATAATGACTTCGTAATAATATTAATATTAATAGCGCGCTTTATTATTATTTTTTTTTTTAACAATAGAATCTTGTTACAATAAAGATTTTTTCATACATTATTTTTTAAACCTTGTCACATTTTCGAATATGGTTGAATCGTGATCGTGATTGTGATAATTCATCAATTTGCTTTTCATTTGAAATTCCTATGAACGATCAATGATCGTGAATGTAAATTAAGAGGTAAGTAATAAGTTATTATCATGTGATGAACGTTTTGATTTCATAAATTAATATATTCAACATGCATTTCAAATATTATTAAATATTGAAATATATGAGGAATATAGAACTGATTCATCAAATTATCTACCTTACAGACGTGGTTTTTCTTTTATGATTAATAAGCCCGTTATTCCAGATTACGTGATGTGATCATAATGAAGCTTTCGTTTCTTAGTTACATGTAACAAAACATACATACTTCTACATCTGCAAATCAATATCAGGTTCTGTGTTCGTATAGAATTTACAAGAACATCATAGCATTGCTAACGCCTTAACTTCAAAGAAGTAATTTGAGAAGGCCTTTCTATTTTTTATCCTAATTGCTGTAAAAATAATTTAGACATCACACTTACTGTTGATTTAGAATCTAAAATTAAATATATTAATTTTTCATTCACATAAGCATAATAATAGATACTTTCTATTGCTTTTAAGGATTTTTGATTTCCTCAAGTGTATTCACCCTCTAGAGATACCATTAGTAGTTTAAATAAAAATGTGGTGAATAGCTAGAAATGAGATTATATATGTAGGTTGTGATGGTAAAGTACCTATTGGCAATATATGGATTTTAATTATCAGGTATCATTAGAATATGATATACAGTGGCGAGCAAAAGAAACGCAACTAGGTAACACAAATTTTTGTCGATCATTTAATTTCACGTGATTTTATGCTATAATCACGAGAAATATCTTGTTTGAAAGCTCCGAACTAGAG